TCTCTTCATTAATTACTAATGTCACAATTACATGAATTTCAAGCTCTAAAATATCATCGTTAACTATTTCACATATGATTATAGTGAAGGAAAATTGGGGTTGTCTATTTGGATGAAGCTAATGTCACTAAAATCCACTGTATTAACTAAAATTTATCATGATTTAGTTCGTCTAACAAGTAAAGAGTTGGTTTTAAGGAACAAGCTAGGGATTTGATACTGTTCTTTCCATCTTTCTTAATCCAACTGTGCTTTTAGTCATTGGCATACTCATTGCTTACCCTTCATCTCTCTGTTTGGCGAATGAGCTTTTTGACTGTATAAGGAGTATTGTTTTTAGAAAATTTGGATGCATCTAGCCATTTGCATCATAACTTTGTGTGTTAATAAATGTCCTTTATGTTTTGACAGCAACCAGATGGAAGTTTCGCTGGAGATATTTGGGGGGAAATTGACACTCGGTTTTCATTTTGTGCCGTTGCTACACTGCATATAGTTGGAATGCTTTCCAAAAATACTATCGACATCGAAGCTTGTGCTTCATACCTTGAAAAGTGTCAAAATTTAGATGGATGTTTTGGAACTCGACCTGGGAGTGAATCTCATGCAGGTCAAGCATATTGTGTCGTGGGAGCTCTAGCTATACTTCGTCAACTACATCGATTAAATATAGACCGTGCTGCTTGGTGGCTAGCCGAACGTCAGCTTCCTAGCGGAGGTTTAAATGGAAGACCGGAAAAACATCCTGATGTGTGCTATTCATGGTAAGCTTAGCAGTACTTTTACTTGAATGAATTGTTATCCATTTATGCTTTGTACAATATTTCGAGGTACTTATGGGATGTGTATTTCAAATTTTCAGCTGTAAATCTTATGTAAAGTATCTACTCATTACATATATTAGGGGGATAAACGGTTAGACAGATGTATAGGATAATATATAATTGCTCTTAATTGTACTTATTTGTGCAGTCTTCATTGGAACTACTCAATTGTTGTAATACACGTATTTACAAAAAATATGTCAAATTTATGGACACCAGGTTTTATTTTAGTATTTCTTTTGAATTAGCTAATCGTAATGTCACTCGTCAAGCATGGACTGCACTCTGGTTTCAGTTATATTACTTCTATAAGAGGTTATGGTGTTATTTGGCCGTCCAAACTGAAGTAAGATGGAATGCGAATCTGAAACCTGTTGTCAACTGCTGTAACCTGTAAATTACAACCTCACTGTTTCATAATATCAAAGGTCACAAAAGTGTAAATTAATATAGGAACAGTCGGATTTTTGGGTTATGTTATATCATTTGACAGAGAAGTGATTGCCAACTGACTTAATCAGTTGGCAATCAATGTCCGTAGGTATGGTATGTGCTTTGCACCTTCGAAGTGCAAAGTACTTCTACAAGACTGGCAGGATTCTAATCCTGTACTCACCCTGGACGGTGAGCAGATAGACCTAGTTGAGAAGTTCGTGTATCTGGGTAGCTGCATAAGTGCTGGTGGGGGTGTGAGTGATGAGATCATTGCACGAATAGTGAAAGCCAGAGCGGCTTATGCCAATCTAGGCCATCTATGGCGCCTTCGTGATGTTAGTCTGGCCGTAAAAGGTCGGATCTACAACGCGTCGGTGAGAGCAGTTTTGCTCTATGCTTGTGAAACCTGGCCTCTCCGAGTTGAGGACGTTAGACGACTCTCTGTGTTCGATCATCGCTGTCTCCGAAGGATTGCTGACATTCAGTGGCAACACCATGTCAGTAATGCAGAGGTTTGGCATCGTGTGTTCGGGCACAGAGATGATAACTCAATTGGTGTCACCATCTTGAAACACCGACTTCGGTGGCTTGGACATGTTCTCCGAATGTCGTCCCAGAGAATTCCACGTCGTGCATTATTTGCCGACTCTGGGACTGGTTGGAAGAAGCGGAGAGGTGGTCAGTGCATGACATGGTGTCGTGGTATGAAAGAAAGCTGCAAAGGACTGGCTTGTGTTGGTCCTTCACGACTCCCTGGCTGGGGTCCGAGAGATGGTGCTACACAGTGGCTAGAGACGTTATCAGATATGGCTCAGAATAGAAGCCAGTGGCGATCCTGCTGTAACCTTCTTTTACTTTCTTCATAAAAAGTGGTTGTGTCTCCTTTACCTGAAAGATTTCTTCTGATTGTACCTCTTCGTCATTACTCTCTTTTTCTTTTGCGTCCCTTAGTTTTTTTTTTCTTTCTACTTCTCTTCGAATTCCCATTGTTTTGTGTGGCGCATATATATTGGCGCTCTCTTCTACCAATATTTATGTGTTCAAATAAATAAATAAATGACAGAGAAGTGGCTTATGAAATACACAATCAATTTCCTCATTTTACAAAACAAATAGAGTAAATCTAGAATAGTTTAATGATACTCCAAATGTCGATGTTTCATAGAGTTAAGAGCGTTTCGGAATATCATACAAATCAGTACTGATGCAATGGAAGACAGTTATTTCTCGCCATTTTGTCTGAGTTCGGTTTCTTGTTAATCTTTACGTCAGTTTTGTTTGCGTTTGCAATACCAAATTTCTTATCATATCAGGCTCATTTTTGTACTTGATATTTTCTAGGTGGACTGTAGCTACTCTTACTATATTTGGTCGTTTGACATGGATTAACCAGACTGACCTTACTCGGTTCATTTTGGCTTCTCAGGATGACCAGACTGGCGGTATAGCAGATAAACCTGGAAATATTCCTGATCCATTCCATACTTTATTTGGTCTTGCTGGTCTCTCTTTATTAGCCCAGGTCGACTCATATTTCTCCTCACCAAGGAAAATGGAAAATGGAGTAAGTGGTGTAGAAGATCCAGCCTTTGTCGCTTTACAAATGGCTAGAAATAATTTGAAGACTATTAATCCAGTATTATGTATGCCCCAATACATAATAGATCGATTGCAGCTCAAATTCCAACTACTGTAAATATTTTCTACCTACTGCAGACTTATGTTGTATTTTGTTTTTTCCACTGGCTCTAAACATTTCATCCTACTACGTGGAGCTTATAATCGTTGTTCTTAACAAAATTGTGGTTCAAGTGTACTGCTGATCAAAGTGTTTTGGAATCAGTACTTTAATATATTGTAATGCGTACTTCTGACATCCTCAACATCAATCTGTTTATGGTCTTTCGTTATCTATACAGTCCCTGTGATGTTCTTTTAAAACATACCTCTTGTAACAAAATTTTCAAAACAAAGATTTTGTATTTTCTCTTGTTTTTAATTAGAACCAGCTAAGTACTTCAATTAAAGTTAACAGAAAACCATCAGTAGTCGTGTATGTATGAACAAGTATCCCCGTGTGTATGCTTCGTGATAGTATTACTACTGATGGAATAGGATTTTTTAGGCAATTAGTCGAACATATCATAGTCTTTAAATTTTGAATGTTCTGGATTAGCTTACAATAAAGTGAAACATGGTTCTGTATATATTTAATATTTGTTGATACAGAAACTTCCAATAAATCAAATATATTTATACGGATAAGAAACTCGTTTTTAACTGATTGGGAAATTGCATGCAATTCGAAGAGTTTGTTAATATATTTCTTTATTGAACATCATGGAAACGTTTTCTGAGGATTGGATTTACTGTTTATCTTTAGCAGTTTTTAATGCTCCTAAATAATCGATACATTTTTCAAAGTGTTTTCTTCACTGGTAAATGTGGAAGCACAAGTGCTCCCAGCTTTTCAATGGTTGTGCGACATGTTTCGGTTCGTGATCTCAATATTCAACAATCCCCACAACCCCCATATTGTTATTTTCTCACTACTGTACAAATCAATCCTTCAGTAATTCCATAGAACTTGTCTAAAGTGCATTTTAGGATTTGTAATGGATTCTTAGTGTCACGTGATGTAGACTTTTCTTTTTCAAACTATACTATATAGTTTTGTTTTTGACTTATAATATGTATTTGATTCTATCGTATTTATTCACACGAAATTATAAATCAGTCATATCACTGTTTAAGATTCACTTCGAGCTTCTTCCGAAATTCGGTATGCTTTTATTATGAGCTTGTAAGAGTAAGAAGCATTCACCAAAATTAGAATGTTGAGACGTGAGGGAAGGATCTCAGACGTAAGTTGCTACAATTCTATATATTTAAGGGATTCGTTTGACATCCAACAGTATAAAGTGCTTTGTTGTCTATATGATTAGTGAAGTGGTGGCTTATTGGTTCAATTTTCGGCAAATAATTTCCAGATTCGAAATCCTCCCAGTCTATTTCGGTTTGGGCATCTGGGTATTATCATTAACCTTCACACAGTGTGGCTCATATTCAAGTACCTGGAGAAGAAGGTAATTCAATTAACTTTAACTACACGACCATCGATAGTAAGGTGACTGGTTTTTTATGGATTTATCCGGCCTAACTCAAATATTCCGACGATGAAAATGCTAATTTTATAGCTTCAAAGTACCCACTTTAATTAAATATAATAATGAATAATATAATACAGTAAATAATTTCAAATGACTATATATCCCTGAAGGTTTAGGAAAATGAGAGAAGGTTAACGACATTTATACGATAGATTCATTGCTATAAATGTATTTTCGCATATTAAATTTCTATTAACATAAATCTCACATTTAGTTAGATGAACTGCGATACAATACAGAAAGAGTTCTCACCATAATTTCATGTCAGCTTGTTAGCAAAAAAGTATTAAAAAGCCATTTTATAGTTTGTAACTCCTCAGCAGTGTGTACTCATAAGACATGGAATAGACGGCTTTCTTGATTTTCGATGTGAAGGATAGGTTCAGATAATTGATTTGAAATTCACTAGATCATACTTCATTCATTTTACGAATCAAAGTGACTGAGTCATTCACGAAATAGCGAAGGTAAATGACTGAGTATCTACCATTACTCTATACTTTTAATAATAGACTCTAATCCTAACAACTTATCAGCTCATATTACCTATAAACATACAAAAATACGATTAGTATCAAATTCTTATTGGACCACTGATTTATTTGTTTGTTAAGTTTTGAACAATGAGGCTGTACATTAAAGAGAGAGAAAAAAGAAAGCTAAATAAACAGTGTCTAAATGCTAAAGATGTTTTATTTATTTTGTTTTTAAAAAGGAAACTATGATCACTTTGTCGATTACGTTTATTCACTTATATGTTTCTGAAACAATGGACCTGATGAGAATAGAGTCTATGTTAGTAATAATAATAATAATCACAATATCATTTTAAGTTGATTTATGTTATACATTGTTTAAATATCATTAAACCATAGTCTCCTTTCCAAATGAAACTTTATCAACATTGATTAATTTCCATTGAAACTATAAATATACAGTTGAAATCAGATCTCAGCAGTAAACAATAAATTTAGGAAAAAGAAGTATGTAAACTTGTGAGGGTACAGTAATACAAATTGATAGTAATTCAAGATAAGAGAAAATATCTATAATTGAAAGGTTAATTAGTATTATTCAGTAGGAAAAAAGTAACAAACAAATTGGCGCCAATTTTTAGTATATTGTCCACTTCATGTAAGAAATATATATATAACTGTTTGAGATAAAAAATACCAGAGGCCTCAATATTTTAGGTTAGATTCTCCCACTAAGAGTATATCTTTAGTAATCAAATAATTATAATACTGTTATTGATCACAAACTTCATGTTTTATATAGAAAGAAAAAAAATGTTATGTACGTACAATAAGATAGAAACAGCGATTTCTCTAATATCTCAAAAAATGCTCTGTTACTGAAATCTGATTGAATATTTGTGTTGATAATTATAATTGCTATTAACAGGATTGATCATATTTGTAAGGAAATTTATAAATAATGAAATAGTGTTGGTCGTCATCATAAATGATGGAAGATCGCGTTAAAAAAAAGTAACAATTTGCTTAGTTTAACTTCTTTTCTAATTAATACAGAGAGATCTTAAAGGTGTATGTTTGTGCGCAATTTGTTAGTTTCAGTCGAAAAGCATGGGTTCTATTTAAATTATACATTTGATATTATGATTCTGTCATTGCTTAAATTTAGAGAATTTTTAAAAAAATCAACTGATAGGATGACTGACATGTTGAAAGATGTTGATCATTTATATCTATCTGATGAATTATGTATAGTTGGAGGGAATTTATTTTGGTTTTTAAGTTGTCCTGAAGAATGATTCATGTTTATAAGGCAAGGATGCTCAGAATTGGTTATCATTCTTGCTCTCATACCTAAAGGAGAAACAGGACGTGGTGAATATGATGATTGAATATTTGGATGTAATGATTGTCTACTACATGAATGTTGTTGTTGATGTTGATTTTCTGAGTAACGTGGATCGCCTCGTGGGAAAACTGATGGAGAAGAACTAGCAGTTAAAAGACTTCGTGTAGAACTGGCTGTTGGGACATGTATTGATGATGACGATTGTGAAAAATAATCAAAAGATAATTTCGGTTGTAAGTTCAAATTTATCATATTATTACTTGAACGGTTGGAATTAATACTTAGTTGAGTGCGTAAACTAATCAGTTGGTGAACTCTACTAAGTGCCATGTGGTAATCGGTTAGTAGTTGTCTTCCGTACTAGAAAAAAAATATAGTGATATATACATACATATGAATATCACACTAAAACATCGTAGATTAAAAGTTGGACGAATATATGACTAGATTTATTACTGAAAGCGCCTTAATTAATATTAGTCATTTCGTACGAACATATAGTTGTGCTTATCTGTTTATTACACTGCTCCTATACATTCGAGTTCTCGAATTGGTTACTTCGTGGTAATCACTATCGTGTTATCAAGATCTTAGTATCGATTAAATTTGTCATGTGATCGCTAATCTAAGGGAGTAGAAAGTCATAGTATTTTTGTTATCATTTATAATGAGAGCTTAATGGAAAGTTGAGATTTATCATGGGCTGAAATCAACTGGAGTAATTGATGGCGATGGACCTAAAGTCCCGAGCCTCGATGTCGATCAATGGTGTTCATTGCTGGTATTCTATACTGAGAGAAAATAGCCGTCCAGAGTTTCTTGATTTTCAGTGGTTCTACAACTGATGTTAGTCCATGTATTATACTAATTTCAAGCACAACAGCCTCCACAAATCACTGTCCTAATGAAGTATAGTTTTCATAATGTCTGAATTTGCTGCTGAAAATCAAATAAACTTGAAAGAGAAAATGCTGATAAAAACAACTTGATGAGGATTTAGGAAAACCGACTGATTTAGTCATAAAGTAACAAATTCACTTCTCATTAGTTTTTTTAATTCGTCTACGAACCCACTTACTTTAGCAACACGTAGCCGACTAACCCAATGACGTAATGCCTTCTCATCTGTTGCACAGAAGCAAAACACATGTGTAGAAGAAGGATCTTGTGCAGAATAGGGCTGAAATAGGAAAAAATTTACACAATATCAAACAATTTCGTTTGCCATGAATTAAAACAGCAGTCACATTGTTGACAATTAACCCTTAGAGATTATAAGCATTTACTTATATGACTAAAGCGAATCATGATAAATAATTACAATTGATGATCAGTTGAATTATTCGTCGCTTGTTAAAAAAGATTTAGATTTCCTGAAATGCTATCATATTTATATTATTTGTGTAAATTCGTTACCGTAATATTGAGAGAATTGACGCCCCCTGAAGAATTCAATCACGTGTCACTCAGCGTCATAGAATTAGGTGTTGCTTTAAGTCTCCTAACATCGTAGCATAGTAGGGGTGATACCGAGTTACTCAGACTAGTTGCCACAGCGCAACGTGGTCACTATTTGTTCGCCACCCAAAGGATAAAACAAACATATTATTGATCACTACTCATTGATCATATATGTACAACTGAATTCACACAAGCATGTTACAGGATTTCTCTATAATAGCCTGTTAATGAAGCAACGTATGACTTTTTTGACTGCCGCTCATAATCTCATTTCTATTAAAAGAACTTAATTATATTTAAAACTATCATTAACGTTAGCAGACCAGTTATCTATCGTGACTTGCCGTAAAAATTAGAGCAGTTCTACACAAAAAGTCAACAATTTAGGTATGTAAAATGATTTATTTTTGGTTAACAAAAATAGAATAAATATATCCAAGTCATCATACCGATAGGTCATGTACTAAAGAAATAAAACAAACTAAATTAGAATTCTCACCTTGAAGGCGAAACCGTGTGGAGTAGGTGCACGCATCCGCGACCAACCTCCTGTAGTTGTATAAAGTTTTAAAGGTCCATCCAAAACCAGAATACGAATAAGATCTGTAGACTGTTATTTAAAGATGCAAATAAAATAATATATATGTACGATGTTAGTGATTAAAGCTGAATGGACGGTTATATCATGATTGGATTACTAGTAAAACCTGAATGTGAATTCAAATGTTTGACATCTATATAAATGTAAATTACTTCCCTACATACACTGGTAATGAAAATGTTTTCAGTGAATAACAGAATTTACATCGGAGTGTGTTGGAATGTTGAACATTATCAGAAGAATCCCCTTGGCCTATGATCTATGTTAGTTGGTATATATATGATATAGTTATATTAACTATTTCATAGGATATAATACTCTTGGTGGAATATAGAATTCATGTCATTCTGTTTCACAGTCACAGACGTTGTCAAGGAATTATTCGGTCATTGGAAAATAACTAAACTTTTTAATTCAAGATTGTATATGTTTTTTCTTATAAATTAATGAAAATTTATACTAACTGGTCTCAATAACAGTGAGTGTTCAAGAGAATTAGAGGTATTAAAACTATTATTCAGTATTTATAATGATGGAAGTATGAATAATGCTTTGGTAATGAACAATATAATCTTAATTGTAATCCGAATGCTTGTGATAGCATAATACACTGATCAAATCATCAATCACTATGCCCCTGTTATTAATGGTAAATAAATAAAATGAAATAATTTCGTTTGGTTCCTGCTTCATGGCCTAAAAATATCTTGCATGATAACCAGAATTGAATTCACTTGTTTGTTTCTTAATTTATGAAACAAATATGTTTACAGAATCACAAACTGATAGTCGAGAAACAATCTATCCAATATTTAATTTATCTGACATTATAAAGTCAAATTTTGGTAATGACACCTACAATGAGTATATTACTTTGTTTCATATGTTAACAATTATTACTAATGTATTACATCTATGACACTATCCATATTGAAACTGCAATTATTTTGACTTTTTGCCATACATCTTGTTAATCTCATATTAATTTTCTGATACGGTGTACTACCTTAAAACGATCTACATTTCTGCCAGATTCTATATTGATATTTATCTGTTAACTGTATAGATAGTGTCTATTAGCCGTATGTTTCAAGAGTTACACCTTGAAAATATGAGATGTTCAGTCAATATAGAGATACATTCTTATTATGTTCCATTAGTTAAAAAAAATTGACAAAATATTTAGAACATTCATAATCTGTACTTACTGAGAAAGACTTTTTATTCTTATTTGAAGTGTACAAACCGGAACTTCTTAAAACACATAAACGACGTGACCATGATTTATCACCAGGTTTACGTATAAACAAATAATCACGCCATTCTGGAAAACCACTGGTATCAATATTATTCAACATTGTCTAACAAAAAATATATAAAAACATTAATAAAATACTTAAAAATAATCCTTGATATCAATTTCCTGCTAGTAATCGTTTGAAATTTTAGATCGGATGTTTTGACAAAATGGTTAATCATCATTTGGTTTTTGTTTATATCACTAGCTAAAGTTGCGTTAGTTTTTAAAAAAAACGGTAGATTTGATTGTAATATCATTGGAAAAGTATATATATACGCTGTCAGTTTCTAATTTCGATTACTAGACTGTCCTAATCTTACACTTCTGTTATCAATGACTACTATAGATTACTTTTGTAAATAAATGTAAATACATTCGATGCGCTTACGGAATCGTCGGGTTACTTTTCCTCCTGTTTTTATCATTTTCAGCTTTTCTTATTCATGCTGCTCTCTATGCTGATTCAGCACCCAAAGTAATTCGATGCTACACATTAACCGTTACAATAGTCAATTACATAGATTAATAACAAACATAGTGATAACACAAAGTAAAGCACTTGAATAAATCTGTTCAAGAAATACTTTGATAGTAGCTATCAAGAACTTTAAGGTAACTGGCATCAATCTTTCCATATTTTTGAATCAATTTTTGTAAGTAATCAAAACGAATAATTAGTTTAAAACTGCTTTCGAACTATCAATAGGATAAGAAAAGTAGTATAAAATACCCACTTTTTTATTAAAATGAGGTTATAAACTATACAGCCTTTGATAGTGGAATAAAATAAAAAAACTCTAGAGTTTTATTTAATTTCATATATGAACTGTGGTTAACTAATCACTAGTTTTGTTTAGTGTACGTGAATAAATGTCAACAGACCAACAAATTTTACTAATCTCCATAATCCATTTGTAGAAACAATAAACAGATTTCGAATAGTGACTGACGGTGTTATGTATTACTAAAGTTTTGTAAAGAAATGATGACTGTAGAAGTTCAACCGTGCATACAGAGTCAGTTACCCAACTATAACCCTAGATAACTGTCACACGCTATTGAAAATAATGAGAAACTGTGAATCAATGAGTCCTAAATTCTTGCACGAAAATTAAGTACTTGATACAAAACTCGAATGTTCAATGGCTAATCTCTGACGAGTTTATAAATGAACTGTTGTGCAACCTCATATCGAGAACACCTATCAAGTACTCCTTGGATATCAAAGATTCTGTAAATGATCTAAGCCCATGATAAAAACCATTTCGAAGTATAATATATTCAGTTTCTTTTATTTATTATTCACTCAGTACCTATGCTTTACTAATAGCAAAATTAAAATTCTTAACATTTAACTCACATTTCAGTGTTTAGCAATTGTTATCAATTTTTACTTTACCAGACAAAAGACATTAAGAACTAATACGACTTTTATTTAGTCATGGTAAGGTCGTTTGGAAGATGATTTTTCTTAAGCAACCTACAATCACTTAACTAATCTAACAGTCGATTAGTGTAGGGGGATCATTTTGTGCTGACCTAGAAACAATTGTCACTAGATTGTCAAAATTAAGTTCCCAGTATATCTTATGTTTTGGCTTTAAAATTATATATTACTGTTTCACGACCTCATAGATAATAATAATTTATCGACATATATATGATACAGCTAAAAAATTTCAGAATATAGACCAAATTTTCATTCTAGTTTCTGTCTTTGTTTATACTAGGTTAAAAAAGCCAATCGATTATACTCGTTTGTCTATGAATTCGGTTTTTGCACAGAGATATGGCAAACTAAACACTTACTTGAATAGCTTCTGCACTATGAAAAGCTTGTTTTGTAGTGGTTTCTTCACCAATCCAATACTTGATAAAGGAAGAAAAAGAGAAAGAAAAGGTTTTTTTTAAAACACGACACAAGTAATCTAGATTATTGTCAAAAATATCATACAAACAACTGTGTTCTAGTTAAGAGTGAAAAAATAATGTAAACTTAACTTCATACAATCTGATAGTTATTTGAAGTAATATGAGACTAGTGAGAGAAGAACAAAAGCTAAACTGATTAGTCAAGTTAGAAAAGTGCAAGCAACTCAATACTATGAAATATTTAGCCCTATAACAAGAAGAACCTCAACACGTATACGTTGATAAAAATTAAAATATGGAGCTAAGGTCGGTGAAGATTTTTACAAAAATAGTCGTAAATGATTAAATATTTCTATTTTAGTTTAGTACCACTAATTAACCAAACATAAATTTTTATGCTTGACTTTGAGAAATACTTTGTCTAGTGTAAATGTTAATGACAGTCGTGACAAAAGTCGATAGATAAAGACTTAAAACTTCAAATTATTGGTAACAAACAAACGGAACTTTGAATTAATTTAGTGATATTTTCTATGTATATAAGAATGTTGAATAATTACTAAATACACTTTCCTTGTCTATAAACTCAATACTTATTCTGGTTCATAGGAAATATGATTTGGCTTAAGGAACCTAGGAATATCAGAATGTAAATAATACAGATGTGAAATGCATTTTTAAACTATATAATTCATCATCACGACTATTATATCATGAATGTTTCTCACAAAAGTGAATTGAATGTTAACAATAATCATCATCCCAAAAAATTTTTTATGAACTCTAATTAGAATAACTATTCGTTAATATACTCATTGATAGCAATAGTAATCAATTAACCCTACTGTCAAAATATCCATACTTATTGTATTTCTCATATTGATTAGTACTAATAGCAACAAATAGCTAAATAATCTACTGACAAGATTCTTATTGCGAGATTTCAAGATACTACGTTTAACTCCATATAGATTTGTAGTGGTGCACTATTGTATGATCTCAACCACGGATAAATAGCTATATATTACACTCTAGTTTGTAATAATTCACTTGTTGATATATCGAAGAAAATACTTAAATAAGCACTGTTTATACAGATTACTAGGCAGTTTAAATAGTAGGAGTTGAGTAAAGAAATCTCTTCATCATGTCTTTATAATATTTCATAAAATTTACTGGTATTTGTAGAAATTAAATCATATAATGAAAATTTCCATTCTCCATGATCCTGTCATCTTTTCTCAGAAATACACAAATGTGTTCGTTATAAGTGGATGTTTTTCTTAGTAGAAACAATCAATGAACAGAATAAAAAAGTAAACAGACAATCGGAATTCGATTGTCACTACAAAGATGATATTTTAAGATTATATAAATTGGAATAAGATGAATAAATCACCCATCAATAAAGGTTTGTCTTTAGAAAAAGAACAAAATGATAGTATTTTCCTATATTAAAGAAGTAGATTGATTGAAACGTTAATACACGGTAAAATAACACTACATGAATATTGAAATAATTTTTAAAGATCTGTTTCTGCTATGTATTTAATAATATATCTGTACTAAATTAATCATATTTAGAATATTAGATGATTCTGAATAATTTTGATGATATGATTTAGAATTAACGAATATTGAATTTGTAATTCTATTGATCAGTTAGTATTTATTGAGTTGATGATACTAGGAAATAACCAAAAATTTACTTTCGATCATCAGTAGGATCATAAACAGAATAATTCGACCTCTTAGTAAGTCATAGTCGTGATCTGACAAATTTTCAGATACCAATCTAAAATATGAACAACCCTGTTCTGATCAGTTTATACGTAAATAATGATTTTCGATTTGATTATATTTCTGACTGATGATTATTGAACAGATTTTATAGATACTGGGTTTTCTAATAACTGACCTATAGTTATTTCAGTTACGAGTTGTTATGACATGAAACACAATTTACCAGTCAGTAAAAAAAATAGCAAATTGAACAAGACATGAATAGATGGATGTAAACGATGTATGGAAATAGTTGCCTAGATTACAATATTTATAAAGTTGGATAGTTGTAAATATAAATTGTGTTAATTAATTCACAATGATTTTTTTTTCTCATATTCCCTTTATTGAACTATATTTCAGTTTTCCAACCCAACTACTGGCATTAAATGATTGGTGAAAGCTCTGAATCTAGTTTTTACACTAATTTGGAACTTGTCAACAAAGTGTATGTGAATTCACAAGGAAGCGGATGATTCATTTTAGATTCACACTTACGTACAGTTAAATTTTACATTGGATCCAACATTATCGACTTTAAGTTTTTTATAACCCGAACTATCTTTTTGTCTAAATCCAACAGTTGATGTCATAATCAACTGAAACTTCATATATATAGAAAGTATTATGTTTCGAATTTACATTATTACTTCACGAAAGTTTTAATATAATCATGAATAAACTAGTCAGATAATTTACATTCATAATAACCTTGTAAATGTAGCATAAAATAAAATGATCATCTAAATAGTTTACAATATTAGAAACATGCAGATTCATTTTTTGATTATTGATATTTATGTATCGATAATCAATAAGTTAATGGATTTTAGAGTTCAGTTCACTGTATGAATGTTTATAAATACAACTCTGTTGTTTTGTTTTACATGTTTATTGATAGAATGTATTGTATGACCATCAGTTATATCCAGCGTAATAGGGACAATATAAATTTTTATTCAGCTCTAATTACCAAATTATGTTAAAATATTATTTTATTAACGTTGAATTTTATTGTGAAACTGTTAGGGAAATCCAGAAAACTACTCAAAAAAAAGCCAACAAAGGCTGTAGAAATGCTGAGAAGCATCTTATTCAACCAGCATTCAATGGAAGTTTTGACAGAAACATCTAGAAGTTGAATAGTCACATGTCGAGTTTCCGATTGGATAATTACCTATACTGCTATTATGTTTAGTGGCGCTCCAGAATTTTCTGGAAACCTAGGACCATCTAAAATACCATAAAAACCGTAGATTTTTTGTGCGCAAACGAACCTTTGGAATAAGGCGTTTCTTCCATACTTCGCGCCTTTTCTCTCGTGTTCAAGTTGCTGTGTAGAATCTAGCCTGAGTGTTACTATAAGTGCTTAGGAACCGAATCTAGAGTTCAATTAAAAGACTTATCAGAATCTTCAAAGTTTTTATTTTTTATGTTGATACTTAGAACTGTATTTGGTTAATTTCTGCGTCTATACTCATCTGCAGATGTATGACGAGTTTTGGATAAGATGAAAAGCAAATATAACGTAAATTCTACTGCTAACCACCTTCATGAGTATAACGAACCCTGCCAAATGAAATCTCGTTTAGTATTCGATTGAAATGATTTAAATCTAAGTATTTTTAAATTCTCATCATAAGAATCATTTGAATAATGAGTGTTAAACTGTCTGTACATTGTTTCTATGTTTATAAGGTTACCTGTGTACTATTAAAGATGAAAACAACTGGTCTAGCTTTTGCTTATTTTAATTATAAATCAACGGTGGATAATACCATGCGATTTCATGTACTGAATGAAGTGAATACTTAAGTCAGGGGTTGTAATTTGATGATTTAGATTAACGATATACAGATCATCCTTAGATGTAGAAGCATATGTGAAGAGAAAGATAATTTATTTTGTATTTTAATCTTATTTGTATAATCTAAATCTTTCATAAATATACACATCTAAAAGCTGATTCACAATTCTAAACATGTAACTGAAATCAATGTCTTTACCTGATGATTTGAATTTCAGTTTTGATGAAACCAATTAACAATCAATGTCTTTACCTGATGATTTGAATTTCAGTTTTGATGAAACCAGTTAACAATCAAGACTAAGTAGGTAATGGAGAAAGTAAAATGTGAACCTAAAGCTTTTTGCGCAATCTACAAGGTCTCGACAGTTCATTATGTATCGCTCACTGCTCGAATTCTGGGTAATTATGCATCTGAAAACTTAATTGTCATTAGGATTTCATGAAATCCTTTGTTTTGGTCATATTAGATCGCAGCATGATAGGAATGAAAATGTGAATTTATTACAGTTTAAGTTAATATTACTTCAAAACATACATCTGGTGATTCAACAAGACCAAAGTGATCCGGTCGTTCTTCAAAGAAGATCATATTTTGACTTTTTGTTGGCCAAGACAAAATACAATCAGACACAATGTCATGTTCTTCAAATACTCGTTCTACAAGAAGAAACGATAAAACAAAGCACAAGACACATCGTAAAAATATGTTATGGTCGGTTTTAATTGTTAAAATATGGAAGTTGTATAAGCGTAAACTTTCACAAGAAAAACTTGTGTCAGTATTAGAAATACATCCTTTCATATGAACATTATTTCATGACTGATTGGATCAGTATTATAACAACTTAGACAAAAATTAGATTAGCGAGGATATAAGAAATTGTAAAGTGTGTTCACTTGAAATCAATGGTGAAAAATAAACATGTATAAGTCAAATACTGTTGTCATATATCCTGAAATTATTCTTAGATTACTTTCCCTTGAAATTAAATATTGCAATAAAAGTGATGTTCATATCACTAGTTAGGATGAATAGATTATAAGATACTGTTAACTTTAGGCAAACTTAGTAGATTAGAATATAGCTTCTATAGTTATAGCTATAAATCTAAATAAAATCTGATGTGACAGAAAATGCTTCCGTCAGTAGATTATATCAAAAAGATATTTTAACGCAGCTGTTATCATTCATTAATAAAAGAATACTCAAAACAAAATAGCCGTCCAATACTTTTACGTTTCCAGTAGTTGGTAAACTTAGATCCATTCGTGCTTTCAGTAATATAAAGAATGACTAAGAATAGATGTGTGTCTTCTATGGTTTGGTAATATATATTTTATTCTAGAGAGTTATATAGACTATTGAATTTTATAGTTTTACACTACTGACTAATCTTGATAAGTCAACTATTGGAAATCGGAGTGAACTGAACGGCTGTTTCATCCATTTTTGGTGATCGTTCAAAATGTCACCTGGAATCGAATTTAGACATTTGAGTCCTTGTGGAGAGTACTGATATTCAAATGGTTGGGTTCTAATCCAGTAGTTTGCATCCACAAATTCAGTCGATTAACGACATTACGTGACTATTATCCATCGGTATAGATGATATTTTACTCAAGCTAGACATGGATGATGTCAGTGTACAAACGCATGTTGATGGATCAAGGAAATATGAAACATGTCCTAATCTATTGATAATCCCTCAACTGTTACATAAGTTTTTATTTTGAAAACTGTGCAAACTACAACCGACTGTAAATATGTTAAGTTAAATAAACTAAGTATAAAGTGAAATCAACTAATAGTATCACATTATTGTACATTACGAAAAAAGTTTATTAACATCCTAAAAGCCCTATATAAAAACACCTCAGGCAGAGTGAGGGCATACAACCACCTCTCTCCATTGTTCCATTCGAGCAATGGGGTTAGGCAGGGTTGCCCAATCTCACCATTCCTCTTCAACTTTGCCATCGATGACATTCTGAAAACAGCTCTGACGAATGTAAGTAATGGTGGTGTGGATCTGTTGCCTGGAGAAAGACTTCTCGACCTTGAGTATGCGGACGATATTGTCTTAATATGTGATAATGCCCAAGGCATGCAATCCGCACTTAATCAGTTGGCAATCAGTGTCCGTAGGTATGGTATGTGCTTTGCACCTTCGAAGTGCAAAGTACTTCTACAAGACTGGCAGGATTCTAATCCTGTACTCACCCTGGATGGTGAGCAGATAGACGTAGTTGAGAAGTTCGTGTATCTGGGTAGCTGCATAAGTGCTGGTGGGGGTGTGAGTGATGAGATCAATGCACGAATAGTGAAAGCCAGAGCGGCTTATGCCAATCTGGGCCACCTTTGGCTCCTTCGTGATGTTAGTCTGGCTGTAAAAGGTCGGATCTATAACGCGTCGGTGAGAGCAGTTTTGCTCTATGCTTGTGAAACCTGGTCTCTCCGAGTTAAGGACGTTAGACGACTCTCTGTGTTCGATCATCGCTGTCTCCGAAGGATTGCTGACATTCAGTGGCAACACCATGTCAGTAATGCAGAGGTTTGGCATCGTGTGTTCGGGCACAGAGATAATAATGCAACTGGTGTCACCATCTTGAAACACCGACTTCGGTGGCTTGGACATGTTCTCCGAATGTCGTCCCAGAGAATTCCACGTCGTGCATTATTTGCCGACTCTGGGACTGGTTGGAAGAAGCGGAGAGGTAGTCAGTGCATGACATGGTGTCGTGGTATGAAAGAAAGCTGCAAAGGACTGGCTTCTGTCAGACCTTCACGACTCCCTGGTTGGGGTCTGAGAGATGGTGCTACACAGTGGTTAGAGACGTTATCAGATATGGCTCAGAATAGAAGCCAGTGGCGATCCTGCTGTAACCTTCTTTTGCTTTCTTCATAAAAAGTGGTTGTGTCTCTCTTACCTGAAAGATTTCTTCTGATTCTACCTTTTTCGTTCCACCGTTACTACCACACTACCTTACACCAATCTCTTCGTTATTGTTCTCTTTTTCTTTTGCGCTCCTTAGTTTTTTTTCTACTTCTCTTCGAATTTTCATTGTTTTCTGTGGCGCATATATATTGGCGCTCTCATGTACCAATATTCATGTGTTCAAATAATGATAATACATTACGAAATAGAAATCAGAATTAAGTGTGATAATGAAAATAATGTTTTAAACAATTTGATCAAAATTCAATAAAATTGTTTTATTTTACCTATTTTTAAAGCTGGAACTTTTTCTACCAAAGCTAAATGTACGGAAGGTTGTAAAAAATTCTTTTCAATCATCATAGTAGCCACTTCCCCAGCGGTCATTTGATGTTCAATTAATATTGCTTTAGTTGTTCTATCCGGACGAAATACACGTACTACTAACTAAAAATAATAATTTTTGAAAAGAAAATCTAATGAATGAAAATTAAGAAAGTGAAGAAATAATGAAAATGTCTATGTGAAAATATAATTAAAATTGGGATGTAGATAATTGAGGTAAGGAAATAATCATTGATATTTTACTTAATTGATTTAATTAACCCACCTTTAGCAAATATGATAATGGAATTTATGAGTGAAACACTATAAAATATTAGAACAATCGTTCATTACTTTGTGTAGTGAACGCAAACTCAGATGGGGAAGACCAATTTACTGTTGAATGTAAAATTACAGAGTGTTTTCACGAAATATGAAAACCATACATTACATACATAATTTGCACATCTTTCATCATTTATCTTTTACATATTTCATGATTTTTCAATTCTGTTGTTATTACGATTACTTTCTGTGCTCTTCAATTAAATCTAATCAATCTTTTACTGACATGCATTCTACTTCCGATTGGTGCTATATACTATTTATATCTATCAACATAAGTAGCATACACCACAGATATATGAATATTTTCGTAGACATACTATTTATTATTTCATGACATAATCTGATGAATACAACTGAACGATAATTATTTACTTAGACCAAATTGTTGATACCTAGTATACTAACTAAACAACTGGTAAGTGAAATATTTTTTTCTGACAAGAGTCAACATGAATAACAAACATTTTAAACAAACAAATTGGGTTATGTAGGTCGCTCAAAAGAAGTTGAAATCAGCAACTGGCCACCAAAGTTAATTCATGCGCAGAATCGATAAGATGTTAAACATTGTATTGATTTCTATCTTAAGCTACCTTATTTTTGAATTATTTTCCCAATTATTGTTAGCCTACATTGATCAATAGTTAGTGTTTTATTCAAAAAAAGCCTAATATTCGAATATTTTGGTGAAAGTCATGAAACCTCACTTAAATTATCAGTATAGGGTTGTGGAGATTGTTGGGTCTTAATTGAGAACATGAACCAATCAATATTAGACCAAGCGTGAACGAAGGTCTTGAGTTTGAGTCCAGGGTGTGGGGTCGTGGCTGCTCACTTCTGAGGAGTCCCATGCTAGGACGAAATGGCTATCCAGTGCCTCCAGGTTTTCAATGGTGGTCTAACATTGATCGGTTCACAATCTCAGTTTAAATTTCACTTAAATTAATGAAGAAGCTGATATTTATTGTTCCAGAACTCTATAGATGAAGACTAAAAACGCTCAGTTTACGTTAAGCTAACTGGGTGAATCCTTACTTGACTAAATTAATTTACTCATTCATTACCGGTTTAAAGAAGACTTCAAAATGTCAAAACTTTACATCAGTAGATCAGTAGGAACTGAACAGTAGTTGAAATTACGATGGGAATAGTAGTATTAGATTAAACTTGGATAATATGACTTAAAAAATGAATGAAGTTGAAAAGTGAGAAATATGAAATAATATTCGAATTAAAAATTTGAAATAATATATGTATGGATAGTATCGATAGTGATAGTATTCATTTTGAGCGATATCATTCAATGTATTCAACTATAAATTAAGGTTGTTTGATGAAGCTAGTCGATTTCAAGTTAAATCAACTTTGACTTTTGAACTAAATTTATTTTACCAGATGAAGAATTAGTTTTATACTTAAGTATTCTTTTCCGATGAAAAAATTTGTTCATTGATATGAATAATGTTGAATCATTTAATTGTGAAGTGATAAAATGTAACATCATCAGAATAGTTTGATTGACTGGTTGTGTAGTGAAAAGAACACGGGTGAGGGCAACCGAATGTATTTGACACAAAACTACAGGACTTGTTAATAAAATCTAACAATCATAAAGTAAATGCTTGGTTTGCAAAATGACTCAGACTTCATTGTTCTTGGATTTTCATACAAATTGCATTCCGCTTCCATTCTTTATTGTTCGATCCTCTTATCTCTCTGCTGCCAGACCTTCTGTTCACGACTAGCATCACATACTACTTGTGTCGATATAAGTAGCACACACCACAGTAGCAGCAATAATTTCAACAACTAACATTATAATTCACTAAATATCAAATTTAGTCACCATAGTAATTAACTGAAGACTAAATAACTCAATTACATCATCAAAGAGCTAGTCAAAACTTTATGAATACAATACAACTATTTAATAAATGATATTGGATGGTACAAATTTCAATCTCAATCATAAATATCAATTTTCACTGATCATGTATTTATCATATTATTGATAAATGTTTGATCACTCTATAATATGATCAAGAAAACAACAATAACAAAAAAATAATAATAATTTTTGAAGGAAACACCTTTTAAAAGTACCTAGTTACACTAATTTGTTGTTGTCGAAAAGAAAAATAATAAACACTCATATCAGATTATATTTGTATTCACGCTATTCTGTTTGAAAAAAAAACTCATCGGAGACGAATTAGAAGGAGACAAAACAAATGAAATATTATCCAAACAAAATATTTTATTTTTTGCTAGCATGAATTGAAGTGAAATTGGTTATTTTAAATTTTCGAAGGGGAAATTTAAGATTTTGTATATGTGTTAAATGAAATAGGTGTATATGTGTACATTTGCATCTTTAAATGGATGACTATGTGTATGACAAATTTTTATTTAGGAACAATAAGCTTGTCTATTATATATCATCAGTTTATATTAAATAGTATACATTCACAAGAAACTAGTTAGTTTCTCTATTATGCTAACAATGCACTAGTACGTTATTCTCTATGCTTTCTATCTCATCTACTACCTAGCGTTTGATTTTTTAATGCATAGATTTAGCTATATAGACTTGGACAAATGTTTACATATATATGAACTTATGTATATTAATTTCAAAGTTTCACATCACGAACTGAATAGGATTATACAACCACTAGAAACTAGGAAGCATTCACAATTGATTGACCACTGGGTGGTGATCAGTGTCATGCGTGTCAAGTCCTTTTTTAGTGCAGATCGAATAATATCGACCATGTTGCAATGTGGCCACCAGTCTAGGTGACTCGACACTGCGTGCACTATATATTGAGATTAGATGGTACACCTTGCTGACGAGTGCAAAGTAGCACGAAACCCGGGTTCAGAAGTTTCTGTCGACTACCTCCAACCACCAACTAGGAAGCATTGGACTTCTATTTCATTTTGCTGTCGGACTTCCTATCAATAAACATTCATGACCCCGCTGGGAATAGAAAACAATATCTACAAGTATCACTATGTACTTTTAACATCTAGACCACTGCATCGACGTTATTGTAACACCATCATCAACTTACATTGGTTATATTTTCCTTACTCCAGACAAGATTAATTTCCACCAGTCACGACTTCTCAGTAGAATTTTATAGTTTATATTTCAAAAAGTAATTCCCGGAGTTTTAGCAAGAATTTGTAACCAGAGGAGTTCAACCATGTTGACAAACGAATAGTTGTAGTATTCAAAAAATACAAAGTGTTAATTAATCCAGAAGTTTTGACAAAAAGTTGTTGAAAGATAGGGAATTTCACTGTGAACAGATAATTCTGGAAAACTGGGGGGAGCGGAAGTAGAAAATTGCTTATTTTGATTATAGTTAGTCCATATTGTAAATTATCTTCAAACTGAACAATTTATGGCTTCGCAAAATCAATCAGAATTTTAGAATGAGTTCTAATAAATTCATTTCCATGACTTAGAACATGTACAATAAATTGCTATTTTCAGAAAGAGTTTTGTGGAGACTTTTAGAAATTTCACTGATTGAAATCATGAGTCAATTGAAGCTAGACCACCATGGAAAACCTGGAAGCACTGGACGGCCGTTTCGTCCCACTGTGGGACTCCTCAGCAGTGCGCACCCACGATCCCGCACCCCGCGAGATTCGAACACAGAACCTATCAGTCTTGCGTCAGGCGCTTAATCAACTAGACCACTGAGCCGGGATCCAACGGTGTTAATTTCTAACTTCAACCAATCCACGAAGTTGCGCCACCGTACACCATTGTCTTCAGTGAGTTACTACCTCAAAACTGACCCGGTTGAACTCCACTGGTAACGGATTCTCACTAGAACTCCAGGAGTATCTCTTCAAGAGTCCCATACTAAGACGAAACGGCCGTCCAGTGCTTGAAGGTTTTCCATGGTGGTCTAGCTTCAATTGACTCATGATTTCGACCAGTGAAATTACTATTTACTTGATGTTTTCGAGGAAGGAAGCGCACCGTACTGTGATTTACGTAACTTTGTTATGTTTTCACTACAATGTTTTCTATTACATTTTAAATGTTTTCGAAATAAATCAAGCAGACTTTTTAACGGTAAAAGTATCAGTTACCTCTACTACTAATAACAATTTTTATAAAATAATCCACATGTTGGACATGTTTCTTTTTTTGACGTTAGTTTAACACATTTTATAGTTTCATAATATTCTTTTCTTCTAAATCAATCAAGATTGTTTGTCTGTAAATTATAAACAAATAAATATTCCTTTCGTATTTTTATAATGTCTCTCTTAAAGTATTTACTTTACTTGTCTGTTCTTTTTCTAAAAAAAAGGTGACTGACCTAGAAATATTAATGTAGACAATGAATAACTACAGTATCCATGTAAAACTTATGTATTAACATTGTGTGTATGTGTGTGTGTAATACACTTTTCTCTTCTCTATTTATATTCACTTATCATTGTTTAATGCATTTAAAGTGTTATGAAAAGAAGTATAATGTAGAGTTGGTTACTTTAATCGTAAAATTTTTATTAGACTTGAAAAAGCATTATTATAAACTGATAATCATCATTATAAGCAAAGATGGATAGTGGCTAGCAGTGGAATCCAGGACGCACTTGAATTCAAGTAAAACAATATCAAGTGATAATCATCATTGTTCATTTATCATTGTAGTTACAATGGCTAGTATTTATCTGGGTTTAAAGTCAAGTTTAACAAGCAATAGATAATAATTTTACAAATACTATTTCATTGTTACGCT